AGTTTCCTGACCCCTGATATAGTGTGATGAAGGCTCACCTGAACTTTAGAAGCCGTTTGCTTTGTTTTCTTTTGCTCCAGGTCTGTGTGGAGGGCCGCCTCTACTTGGAGTTCATGTTTGATGACATGATGAGGATAAAGACATGGCACTTCAGCATCCGGCAGCACCGGGAACTCATTCCCCGCAGCATCCTTGCAATGCATGTAAGTCCAGTGCTTGCTACTAGCCATTGGCTTGACTTTTCACTTCTGCTCATTTTGTGTTCTAAGTAGCCTTGCAACTCATAGTATTGCTTCTTGGTATCTGAGTCTAAGTAAGGCAAGTTTTCTATGTCCAGGCCAGCTGCCTTCCGAGAGGGCAGAAAATTGATTCAGCATTCCAAACTCCCTTATTGCTGCCCTTAAATTGAGTGCATGACCTGATACTTCTCTTCAGATCTACTGCTTGTTTTGTTTTTTTTTTTGCTATTTGCATCAAATTTACACTGTGCTTTTCTATTAAAAATAGTGAAAGTGGCTGATGATAGAGCAATACTAAATACAATAACTCTTAAGATTATATAATTAGTTTTAAAACATTTATAGTCAATAGAGGCAGAGTGAGCTGCAGAACAGATCTCCTTAAAAAGCCTTAAATGCCTTCTTTCTTTATTTAAAATACTGTGTTTTTTAGTGATTAAAAAAAGGAAAAGTGTCTGGCAAATCTCAGTTAGGAGTGAATTCTGTGTTTGGGGAAAGTATGCAGAGCTTTGAAAGAAAGGGCAGTCTTTCTTCAGGACAGTTACATGGTTCCGCCTAGGAGTTTTTTGCACCAGTGCAGAGTCAAGTCTGAGAACCCTTTGGAATTCTTGCCGAGGAGTTGCTACTGCTGTTTTTCCCTTTAATAGGTGGTGCTTGACTTCTCTGCACGCTTGAGTACGCAGAACCCTTGGAGAGGAAAAGCTGGTGGATTGCCTGTAACCTGTAGTTCTTGGTGCAGTCACTAGTTTTCCTGCCTTTCTTTGCTATGTCACCTACTAGAATTTCAGCAGGAGTAGAGGAACTGAAGAGGCTCCTGGCCCCTAGAAGTGACAGAGATAACTTGGTTAAAATGTCTTTTGGGAAAAGAGGAGCAGGTGTTCCCCGATTGACAGTTCAGAGAATCCTTGAAATGGACTCGGCACAGGCATAAAAGTCACCAGGAGGGCTGCAGAGAGAAAGATCGATATAGGCCAGCACCCTTTCTTCGTGCCTTGTGCAAAGCATGTTTGATCCTCCATAATTTTTATTTTAAAAAAGTATCCACACTGAGTTGTGGAATATTTTCTGACTTAGTGGAGGGTCCTGGTGTAGGAAGGCTAAACAGGAAAGTCCCCAGGGTTTCACATATACCCATTATCTGCTGATGCCACATATTCTTTATTCCTCTTTCTGTTTCTCCTTTCTAATGTTCTTGCTCCAGGCACAAGATCCCCAGATGCTGGATCAGTTGTCCAAGAACATCACCCGGTGTGGGCTTTCAAATTCCACGCTCAACTACCTCCGAGTAAGTTTTTCTACGAAGCTCACAAAGTTATGGAGGTAGCTCCTTAACCATCCTCTTTTTTAGTCTTCAGAAGAAATAGGAAGCTCAGCTTTCAGAAACAGTGTCTGTGGAATAATGCTTCTCTCTCTCTCTCTCTGTCTCTCTCTCTCTCTCTAAAAAACCTCTGCTTCATTCCTTTTTTAAAATTTTTTTTGATTGTTTTCTTATGAGTTTATTGGGGATTATGGAGGACTTTGTACATCAGTAAATAAATACGTAATTCAATTCAATTCAATCTTGTGAGCTACTTCAAGCTTCAAAGGAAGCAAGATATAAACAAATCAAAATAAGCATATTATGAATAGCTAGCATTCTTAGATGCATCAGTGCAAAGCACTGGTAGTTAATCTCGCTGTATCTCTGCGGCTGAATGAGGGATTGGAGCAAGCACCATCTCTTTATATATCAGCTGCATAGAAGGAAGGCTGTGCTTGGAAAGAGTTTTGTTCACCTGAAGGCAAAACTAAGTAGATTCATTTTGATATTTAAATCAGCTTGTGGCAATGAGTGCCTCTGAATGCTCCTGAGCTGTCCTGGAACAGATTTTCTTTGTGTCTGTCTATATACATGCACACAGAAAAGCCTAAGCATTCTACATGTACCTTGCAATGTAGGTTTAGTAACTGTGTCCAACCTGTCCAACTATCTAGGAAGCTCAGAGAGCGTGCGCACCCAGACCATTTCCACTCAAGGAAATGAATGGCTTTCTTGCCAGCATGTGTGCCACCATTTTTGGCCAGGTTTAGAACATGGTTTCCTGAGCAGTAACTGACTGCAGGAGGTTTCTGTTGGAATCATCAAAAGCCAACACTTCGTCCTCTTCCTTTTCCCCTGCCAGCTTTGCGTAATCCTAGAACCAATGCAGGAGTTGATGTCGCGGCACAAGACCTACAGCCTCAGTCCCCGGGACTGCCTCAAGACATGCCTCTTCCAGAAGTGGCAGCGTATGGTGGCACCACCTGGTGAGAATTTGAGACAGGGCAAGCTTGGGTGTTATGATGAAGCACTCTGCGACATGACTGATGTATTTCTTATGAAGGCCACGAGAGGGTGCTAGGAGCATAATATTCCTTTGGACTGCTGTTGGTAGATTGTGCATCACGTTAGAGCTTTGTAGGGGACTTGGCGGCTGCTGTTCAATGCCTGAACGCCTGGCTGTAGGATTACAGTGTGGAATGGGCAGATGAAAGACCTGGTAAGGGAAACGGGTGGATGGGTGAGGCAGGCGGTAAGCAAGTGTATCAGTGCAACTAGGTTTTGGGGAACACATAGCCTATGAAATTCACAGAAGATGGGGCTCTCTCAAGTTGGAGTTTGGCCGTTGAGCCAGTTGGGAAACAATAGGCTCTCCTACTGGAACTGAGGTGTCTGACCAGTGTTCCCTTTGCTGACACCTTCCCAGCTGAGCCTGCACGTCAGCAGCCCAGCAAACGCCGGAAAAGGAAGATGTCTGGGGGCAGCACCATGAGTTCTGGTGGTGGAAATACCAACAACAGCAACAGCAAGAAGAAGAGCCCAGCCAGCACCTTTGCCCTCTCCAGTCAGGTACCTGTAAGCATCCCCTTTTCATTCTCTCTTTCTTTTGCACCTGAGCACTCCTTCTGCAAGGGGATCTGCTCCACGCTGCTGGAGCACCTTCAGAAATGATGGACAGTGCTTGACCACATGGCTGGGCAGAGTTCAAAGTGGCAAAATCTACCTTCCCTTTTTTTGCCCTTTAAAAAAACCCAGAACCCTGAGCTGGCTGCAGAATAGTTAGATCAGGTAGGTGGATATCTCCTAAGAATGCTCTGATCACATACATGTCTAGGGATTTTTGAACAATATCAAAACCAAGCCTCAATGAATTACTGGGTCTCCTTACATATGCCTTTTCATTAACCTACTTTAGGAGAGGGGAGAAAAAGCTTTTTAGTTGATACTGTCCTGACACCTTTGAAAACAGATGCTAGTGAAAGTTGATATTACTGGGAAAAGTGAACCAATAGTCTGGCTCATTATTAACATTCCAATGTTCATTTTGTTAGCCAGCTAATAACTAATCATAAACTGTTGACCATATATTGCAAGTCACCCAGAGATCCACCAGTATAACCCATTTTTCCTTCTGTCCACCACTGCCCTAGAGAGCTAGAGAGCTACGTTGTCCCTTTGCATAGCAGCTATTTTGAAGAATATGGGAATTGGGGGGATTCTGTTTGATACCTTTTAGTTTCTTTCCCCATACCTAGAAGAGATATTGTTTTCTCCATGTTTCTGAAATGTTGAATTCCACCTCATTCCTGGGCTATTCGTGTTCAGGAATGGTAAAGGAATAACCTTCATCCTCTTGAGGGAACAGTTTTACTTGAACCATGCCCTCCCTTGAGTCTGAAATGGAAACAAGATGGGAGGCCACTTGATATCCCTGGAAATACTGAGCAGTCAAGAACAGGAGTCTTCCTGGTCAGGAAGGGAGGCAGCTTGAGAAGGGAGAAGAGACCTGGGGAAGATAGAGCAAGCAAAACAAATTCAGTCTCCTATTTGTGGTGAGAGTTCCCTCAAGCATTGGGGTAAAGGTCAGAGCAGTCTCCACCTCGATTATGTTTCCGGACCTTCTTCCCTCCTCAGGATGTGATGGTGGTGGGCGAGCCGACCCTGATGGGTGGGGAGTTTGGTGACGAGGATGAGCGCCTTATCACGCGGCTGGAAAACACACAGTTCGACGCTGCCAACGGCATCGATGACGAGGACAGCTTCAACAACTCTCCCGCGTTGGGCGCCAACAGCCCCTGGAACAGCAAGCCCCCCTCCAGTCAGGAGAGCAAGTCTGAGAATCCAACGTCGCAAGCATCGCAGTAAAGCCCCCACCCGCTGCCCAGCCTGGCCTTTACCGGACTTGGGCTGGTGCCAATCCCTCCTCCAACGGACTGAGTCGAAACCGTTCTACCTGGACAGTTTGTGAAGAAGTGTGGCTGGCTGGTGAAGTATTGAGCCGATGGGCACTGCAGCACCAGCCTGCCCACCTACCTGTCTCCAGTTGGTCCAGCCACCACTCCCTGCCGTCTGCAGTTGTGGCAGCACCCCACAGGGCAGACGTGGGACACACACTGGGCCTGATGGAGCCTGGATCTCCCTTTTTAGCCCCAGCAGAATTCTAATTCCTTCTCCCTACCCACCCGAGCATCCAGGGCTGTAGACACCACAAGCGACAGTGTTGTGGGGTGGTGTTCTGAGTTCATTATGTAGCCCCTTGAAGCCTGACAGCTTTGCCTGACGGGCAAGGAACATCTCAGGAGGGAAAGGGGCTGAGTGCTTCAGGTGACTGAGCAGAAGGCCAGAGCCTGAGCACCTTTTACCAGTGTAGTTCCATGTTCAACCTCCAGGGGCTTTCTTGTAGCAGGAGAGTAAAACAACCTTGTGTGACTCAACATTGGGGGCAGCTAGGATATTTGGGGGGGGATGATGGCTGCTGCGGGCGTGGCAGTACAATTCCTCCTGCAATGTGTGTGTGGGGAGGTGGAATTGGGGTTTTTACACCTCATGGAATGTGGGTAGAAAACTGCCCTTTTAGTCTGATCTTTGGGGATAGGCCCACCCCTCTGCATATCCTACTCTTACAGAAAACTGCAATCATGGCCCCACGCCCAGTACTTTGGATTTTTTTTAAAAAAAATGTTATTATTAAAATTGTAAGTTTAAAAAAAAAAAAGAAAGAATCTGCCCTCCCTCCCTGTTTTCCCCCAATCCTGATTTTTGTACAGGCTTGTCTACCAATTGGGAGTCTTGGTTTTTATATACAGTTCCGAGAGCTTCAAACCAAGGAGAGACTTTGCAGACTTCCTTTATATGATTCTTTGAGGACAGCATGGCTGCCCCACTTCGCCCTCTCTGTGTAACTTGTGTGTGCTGCTCCCCGCCCCTTCTCGGCCGCCTCCCTCTCCCCACCTTTCGGGTTTGTGTACCTCGTGCTTGTATATTTCTGCGCTGTAGGCCGTGTGTATGATACTGTTCTTTCACTGTGTTATCACTAAAGCAGCCACCACCCCTCATGAGTTGTTGGGGGCAGTTCATCGTGATGGGCATCCTTCTTGGGAGTCAGGAGAGTTCAGAGGGTGCTGTCACCAGTTTACAGCAACGCAGAATGCACAGGACAAGGCTGAGAAGCAGGACCTCTTAAGGAACCGGGGAAGGTGTAATAATACCTGTATTGTATAAGAGGATGGCAGCTTCCTCCACTTGGGAGGCAGGTCCATCTTTTTTGGTGGAAAGTGACAGGGCTCACCGGGTCCCCAAGGACACACAGCCCATTCCTAAACCCTCCCATCCTGTGCTCTCCAGTGTTTGGATGTCGCTTATGTTCTTCCACTTGCATTTCCTGCTCTAGATTTGTTTTGTGCATCCTGGACAGAATATGTTTTAATTCTCTGATGCCTCGAAGTCACCAAGCATAAGGTGTGTTTTTCTGTTTTTGCGAGAGGAACGCAAGAGTTAAGATGAGGTGTGTTGCCCTCCTCCTGGCATGGGTGGCTTCCGAGTGCAGTGGCATTTGGGAGGCACAGTCTGAATTGTGGCGGCAACCACCCCTTTGCCTTATTGGGGCTGTTACTCCAAGCTGATTCCTGGCTTCAAGGTTGTTTTCGTTAAAAGGACTGTTGCCATCACTTTGCCCTAGAGCTGCCCTTTCAGGCCAGCAGCTCCAACATGATTTCTTCACCACAGGCGCATGAATTTCCATCTGACTCCTGGACTGGAATCCCAAGAACTCTCCTCTGATAGAGGAGGCCAGCTGAATCGAACTGAAGCCTATCTGTTGGGGGAAGGGGGGGGGAAAGGCTGGTCACTTTTGTGTTAGTGGGCCCATATGCTCTGGTCTGCTCTGCCCCCTATTAGCAGGCAAGGTAACAGTCAAAACTATAATTTACAGGGATTTCTTCTGTTTCCATTTTGTACCTTAAAGAGATGAGTGTCACGTCCCTCATTGCTGTGGCTCGGCATGAACTGGTGGCGTGTACTCTGTCCCCCATCCCTTTGCCCTCCCCACCTACCACCTCTCCACTTCCTGGGGCACTGTAAAGCCTTTTTTTCTTTTTTCTTTTCCTTTTTTCTTTTTTTTCTTTTCTTTTTCTTTTTTTCATAGTTTGTGCCATTTATGGTCATGTATGTATGGTACCAATAAAACAACTTTTCAGTTTGGCGCTCTCCTTCCAGAGTCATTTCTCATTAGAATCCTGGAGAAGGGGGGGCTGTTCTCCTGTACAAAGTTTCCTTCATGGTTCTTTCTTTAGCCTGAAGTAAAAAAAAACTAACGAGGTCTTCAAGGACTACCACTGGTTTCTTTATGTCTGTGGCCCAGTGTGTCCTCCTACATTCCCACTAGGAAAAATGAAAGGCAGAGGAAGAGCTGGCATGAGATCAGCTCTTCCTCTGCCACGGCCTTTAGTTTGCAAGACCAGCTGTGAAGGAGAGCTAAAGGAAAGTGAGCCGTCCTCGGCAGTAGAAACCTTAATAGAGGGAAAAGGGAGTTGTAACGTGGGTATAACTGAGGAGAAGAGGGTCATGTTAGAAAAGACAGAAAAGGCAGAAGAGAGGAAGGGAAAGGTTGAGGTTTCCCTTCAAAACAGGAGGAGGAGCAAAGGATGTCAGTTTGGGAAGAAAGTATAAATGCCCAGGGGGAGCAATGGTTTGGGGGTAAGCTTGAGGGAGAGAGAATGAGAAAGAGGGAAGGATGAGCCGGTTCAGAAACTGATTACGAAAAGGCATGCAGACTCTTGAGAGATTTCCCAAACCTGAAAGTTGGTGGACTGTTGCCTGACCCAGAGCCGAAGCAAGAGGGAGAGACCTTATTAGAAACCCAAGGATGAACAGTCATCGTCTTCCCGCACAGACGGGGCAGAAGCAAAAAGGTGATCCATCCTGATCCCACCTATAACAGACCACCGAAAGAAGGAGACTGGGTGAGACACCCATGTTGTGGAACCATCTGTGTGGTGAGGAGCGCACTCCTTCAGAACCCCACTGACAGAGTGTTTTGGCCCAGCACCCCAATGAGTTATCCTGATTTTCACTGCAAGTTAACGTTCTCTAGTTATGGCCCATTGCCAGAGTTATCTTGTTTCGACCCGATAGAAATAATTGTTGAAGAGCTTGAGATTAATAAAAGTGAAATGGGTTTAGTAAATAAGTCTCCGTCTTTATTTCCCGCCAAAAGTGAGGAACTGCCAAAAGATTCAACTGAACCCGATCACACCAGGGCAGGGTTACTAATGGTAGGGCCTTTTGGAGGTCATTAATTCATAGAATCGCCACAAGTCAGAAATGACTTGCTGGCACTTCATTCTAGTGCCTCTGTTTCTCTTACAAATTTTTTTCACTCATACATTGCATTCTGCGGTCTCAACCATCAACCGACAGTGAAATAAGAGATGCATTTAGAAGTCACAGAAAAGATTTGGCAGATGAAGGACAAAACCTCTTGTGTGAAAGAGAAACACAGTTTTTTTCCCCTACATCTGCAAAGAAGAGGCAGCTATGAGTGCTGCAATTCCAACCAACTAATGTTTCCCCTTGCTTCATTTTTACAGAAAAATAAGAACCGACAAGCCTGGTAGTTCTCATTTGAATGGCACCTAGAAACTTAAGAGTGGGAGTTTGTGGCCCTTTATCTATACCAGGGGAGTGTCCCTGGTTATCACCCTGAGCTCTCAAGAGCAATATCATATGGGGCTGGGAACAGAAACTGCAGAGCTTTGAAGGACTGCTCTTTTTTGAGCTGAGGTTTCTAGAATCCACTACCCCTGCATGGCTGCTTGGAACTGAATTCCGCGAAAGCAAATTTTCCAAGCTCTGGAATTTCAGGCTGGCTTGCACTATATTATGTGTCTAACATTGGCAAGGCATGGTAAGAAGCAGTTCTCCACGTTGCCCAGAGAAATTGTGTACCAGCTGTTCAAGTCCATGCAGCTTCAGCAGGCCTTACATTTGCCTGTCCGTGCTTTCTTGATGATTGAAGAAAGCTACCAGAAAACAATTGCAGTTTACATCTTTTTAATATTGTCACTTGTGAGAGACCAATGTCTTTGAAAGCTTGTATTACATACATGAAACAGACGGATCCAGTATTACAAATACCCCATTGTTTAGTCTCTCTCTCTCTCTCTCGCTCACTCCTTTCCATGCAAATAAAAGAGAGAGAGAAATGGAATATGATGTGAGAAGTGACCCTGGGAACAACAAGGAACTGCACACAGCCCTGGCTGGTTCTTGATTCTTGCTTGCTGGTTATTAATTCCTATTATAAACCATTGGACATTGCAAGCAGAAACTCATTGCTGACACAGAAGAAACTCACCTTCTGAAAAATGAGACTTTCACTGCATTAAACTGTATATGACAGACCCCACCCTAGAGCAGTCCTCTGTTTTCCATTCAATATCATTCTTTGCAGTTCTGTAAAGTTCCGGAACTCTGACGAGGAAACAGGCTGCAGTGCTATTGTTCTGACATCAATCAAGTTCCTAACCTCCTGGTATCTTGGCTCTCAGCCCATTAGCAGGAAACTGCCGAGTTGAAGACTGAAAATGCCTGCAGAAGTGGCCTTGCAGTTCAACAGGTGAGGCCATGCATATAGGCTTGCATGTTGAGGACGAGGGTAAGAGGAAAATACTGTAAAATAATTATGTCTAATGGCAATTAGCATGAAACCTCAGACAAGACTTGTTATATATGAAGCTCAGAACACATGTTTCTTGTTCATTTAATAATAGGGAGCAACCAAAAAGTTATTTTTGGGCTAGAGTTTCCTAACCCTTTCACCATAAGAGAAGGAATCAGGAAGGTCTTGTTTTTGGACTGTAATTCCCCTCATCCCGTACCATCGGTTATGTTGACTGGGACTACTGGGAGCTTTAGCACATCTGAAGGGGCCATGTTCTCTATCCAGTGAAAAACCAGATCTACCAAAATGTAGCTAAAACCTGGGTTACTGAAATGTTGCTTACGGGAGCATAGGGAATCTCATGCTTTGATTCAAATACCTCTTCAGTAAATTTGTTCCATCAGTTACTGGTAATCTTGTTTCCAAAACCTGAACAGCAGGAGGTTATCCTGTCACATTTCACAAGATCATATGTTAAACAGAATAATAGAGTTGGAGAAGAACTCTTAAGCCCACCGAGTCCAGCCCTCTGCTCCATACAGGAATCAAAATCAAGGTATATCTGACAAATGATTTTCTAGTTTTATCTCAAATGTCTCCACATCCAGGGGGAATTGGTTCCATTTTCATAGTGCTTTAACACTTGGGACGGTTTTCCTGAAATCCAACAAAAATCTGGCTTCCTGTAACTTTAACCCGATATTACATGTCCTGTGCTCTTGAGTGATTGAGAACATATCCTGCCCCCTCTGAATGACAACTTTATTTTCTTTATTTTTATTACATAAAATCACAAGAAAAATAACACATATATTTCCCACAATACATTTGTGCTATATTGCCCTCCACCCGCAGGATTATATAACAATACATTTACTACATGTACCTATAATTGTTTTCAGATTTTCGTTTTTCGTTTTAACTTGTGCATCCTGTCTCCTTCCAAATCTGTATTGATTTTTCTGGTGGGGTATGTCCTTGATATTTTAAAAATACATGTTCTATAAATTTCTTCCAAATTTGACTAAAAACATCCTCTTTCAACTGCCCTTTTCTAATTTTCATTCAGTTCACATGTCAGTTTGTCATTGATGGTTAAATTCCACATTTCATCACAACTTTCTTCTAAACTCAACTGCTTGTTATTTTTCCAGTTCTTTGCCATTATTAATCTTGCAGCTGTCACCATAATTATAATCAGTTCCTTTACCCCTTTTTCTATTTGGCAGTGTCTAACTATGTTTGTTTGTTTGTTTGTTTAACTTATATGTGCCATGTCAGTTTGTCATTGATGGTTAAATTCCACATTTCATCACAACTTTCTTCTAAACTCAACTGCTTGTTATTTTTCCAGTTCTTTGCCATTATTAATCTTGCAGCTGTCACCATAATTATAATCAGTTCCTTTACCCCTTTTTCTATTTGGCAGTGTCTAACTATGTTTGTTTGTTTGTTTGTTTAACTTATATGCGGCCCACGCTACCTGAAGGTCTCTGGGCGGCTTACAACATTTAAAATACAATAAAAAGGCAAAATAAAAGGTCAAAATAATTAAAATGCAATTAAAAATATATACTCTAAAAATTGCCATCAGACCCACAGCTGATATTATTTCAATTAAAAGCCTTCCTGAACAGGAAGGTTTTGACCTGGTGCTGAAATGTCATCAGCGTCGGCGCCAGACGAATCTCAGTCGGGAGGGCATTCCATAGTCTGGGGGCAGTTGCCAAAAAGGCCCTTTCTCTACAAGCCCTCCCTCTTATCTCCTTGAGGGATGGCTCTTTCAAAAGGGCCCCCTGGCTAGATATTAACTGCCGGGTAGGTTCATATGGAAGGAGGCGGTCTTTTGGGTATCCAGGGCCCAAGCCGTTTAGGGTTTTATATGTCAAAACAAAGCTACCCTTGGACATTTTTCTATATTTAGCATCCAAAATAAAAAGTTTAATGTAGGGATTATCTTCATTTTTACTATTGCAACTCTTCCAAACCATGATATCTTCAATCTATGATAATCTCGAAATTGTTCTTTGATTTGTTTCTTCACATTATCTAGATTTGTTTTCATAATTTCTTACATTTGCGAAGTTATTTTTATTCCCAAATCTTCAATACTATATCTTCCCTTCAAATTTTTGCTTCATTTTACTCATCATCATTCCCATAATTTACTAACATACATTCTGATTTATTCCAGTTTACCTTTAACCCTGTAGGTTCCTCAAATATTTTTAAATGCATATTAATATTATTTATAGCATCTATTGGGTCCTCAATTGTTAATAACCTGTCATCTGCAAATAGCTTGACCTTAATTTTATTGGTGTTCCCTATTCCTTTTATTTTGGTTTCTTCTTTTATTGCATTTGCTAATAGTTCTATTACCCACATAAACAGTATTGGTAATAACAGTCATCCTTGTCTTCCTCCCCGGCCTAGTGTTATTTTTTTCGGAGTGTTTTCGGAGTATAATTGCTGTATAGTGTTTCTAAAACATATACCAAACCCTAATTCTTTTATTAATCTCTTTAAAGCTGTCCATCC